CGGGACAGGCGCGTCATGGCGGAGGCGGCCACTGTGGGGACACAGCCACTGGCCTTGAGACACGCCCTCTCCCTCCAAACCACACCCCTTTCCTCCAAACCACACCCAATCCAAAACCACCTGTCCTGAAGCCACGCCCCCTCCCCAATCCGCAGGCTCAGTGTACTCATGCATATTGATGACCTCTCATGCATATTGATAACCCCTCATGCATATTGAGAATCCCTCATGCATATTGATGACCCCACATGCATGTTGATGGTCCCTCATGCATATTGATGCCCCCTCATGCATATTGATGGCCCTCTGGTGTCCCTCGGGGTTACTCACTGTAGCCCATGCCCTGCAGGAAGTACTTGATGGCCTCGGTCAGCCGGCCGGGCTGGGGGGAGGGGCACGGTCAGCGCTGACCACTGAACGTTCCCCGGGTGACCGCTCCCCCCCCCCCACACCACTGACCCCAGCTGTGACCTCTGACCCCTCACCTGGGCGATCTGCGGCTGCCCACCACCATCGGCCATCTGCAAGAGAGGTCATTGAGTGACCATCAAGTGGTCACTCAGTGGTCACTCAGTGGTCACTCAGCGGTCACTGAGAGGTCAAAGGTCACCTTCAGGAAGGACGTTTGCGTCGGGTCCAGTTTGGCGTTGCACTCAACCTTGGGGGATGGGCCAGGGAGGGGTCGAGGGGTCAGGGTGGTGTCAGATGACCACACCCTGAGTGACCACGCCCGACCATCACCTGTCCCCCACTCACCACAGCGTCCTCGTGCGGGGAGTTGTCACCGACCACCAGCAGGACTGGGCAGCTGGGAGGGGGGTCAAGGGGTCACTCAGGGGCCAGTGGTCACTCAGGGGTTACTCAAGGGTCACTGGTCACTCAGTGGTCACTCACCGCAGGCTCCCAGCCCCGCTCCGCTCCAGGCCTAGGTCGCCACGGCTGAGGAGGATGAGGGGGTGGGGGCAACATGTCAGCCCCACCCACCATGGCCACACCCCTTTGCCCATCAGGCCACACCCCATGGCTGTAACTCCACCCCCAAAGCCACACCCATCACACACAGCCACGCCCATTGAAGGAAACCCC